TACTCAAAAGAAAAAAATCGAAGTCTATTGATGTCATCTTCATGGCAGAATGCCTCTTGTCATCTATCGCACCCCCAGTACAGTCTTTCAACAGAAAAGTGGCAAACTGTTGATTAGGAGTGCGCAGAAATGATTAAGTATTTTCTGTTGTGATCACTGGCTAACTTGCTTGCTTGGTTCTGCTTTGCTCGTTATATTCCGCTCATCTCAGATGCGTTTGATGTGATTTGATGGTATGTACTTTAAATATCACTTAATGACCTGAAATTAGTACAGTTGTCATTAGTATACAATCAGACTTCCTAAGAGCACCTCCAGGACTTCTCAAGGAGTCTCTCATTCAGAAACTAATTTTAGATATCCACTAACAGGAAAAAGGAGACATTTTGCTTATATACACCAAGTTTAGAGGGGGATTTCTGTCTTTGTACAAGGGACTAGCTAAGCCAAGAGTCCTGGTTTGTGTTTCAGGTAAAAATAGGCCTTATGCTTTCAGTTTTTCATTTCACTACCATGACTTTCTCATTGTTGATTTCTGTTACTTTGCTTTTTTTGTAGATTCCTACTGTTTTTGTTTGGTTTATTACTTCCAGTTTTCCGTTCCTGCTACCCACATTTAATTTTTATCATAGTGATACTTGAAAGTTGCCACTTACATGTTTTATTCTAACAAAGCCACGCACTTGGTGCACTTGAACGTGTTTCATTCAAAGATCAGTACCTCTGTGAATATTTTAAAGGGGTCTCTGCTCTATTATAAACTTCCTTGTAGGAGCCAGAAGGCAGCAGTGTGAAAGTGTTTCCTGTTTCCTGCCTGGCTTGTGGTTCAAATCAATTTCCCTCTGCAGCAAACGCTGTTCTCGATGAGCTACACTGCTCCTCAAAGTCATTGAGAGGCAATGAGCAGATTTTTAATATACATCTCCGGCTCGCATTACTCAAGGCAGCGACTGGGTTCTGTACACATACCCTTGTTTTTGCAGTCATCTAACTGGCTGCCTCGGAGCGCTGTGGAGAAAAGCTATTGCTTAAGTGAGAACAATTGATATTTAAGCTAACGACATGCTGCACGACAGAATCAGGCTGTGGTGTGCTGATGCACAGCCACAAAACAGTCTGATGTTTGTCAGTGCTATTGTTACTGGTGTTCACTGCTTTTTAAGAGCTGTTCCGTAGATTCTGTTCTAAAACAGTTGCATTGAAACAGTATGTGCAACAATACAACAGCACAAGCGAATCATATTTAAAGCTGCATTTGTTTAGTATTTTAGCCACAACGATATTGTAAAATATGAAAATGAAAAGATAAAACAATGCTTTAAACACCCACACATTTCATTACACTTGTAAAACATTTGCGTGCCATCAAATGTGAAGACCTTGATTCCCAAAAGTCTCCTGGGACATTTAATGGATTCTTGGATTTTTAAAACTAGTTCACTACTTAAAGGCCAGCATGTTTGAGGGGTTCGTTGGTCTGGAGATCTTTTGCTCCTGTTGGTCAGTGAAAATGGCTGCAATCATTGCTGTATTTTAAGATATATTTTTTCAACTATGATCCAATTTCTTTTTTTGTGCTTTCAATGGTTTGAAATAATTCTGTTGAATCACCATCATGTAATTAAGCCTCTTTTTTCTCGTATATGGTACATTTTTTTTCCAAATAATGAGTGATTGAATGAGAAAGTTTTTCCCTGTGGGGATTGGTTCATCTTTATGGAGAAGCTTGCCAAATTGCCTTCAGGCTGGAAATGTAAATGTCTAACATTCATGGTTTCTTTGATTTAAAAATGAGCATTGACATTGTAAAAAGCAGATTAAATGAGGTAATGTAGCCAGTGGGCTGTTTCATCTGCTCTGCAAATTGTTGGTGCTTTCCTTTTGACATTTTCCTCTTAGGTTTGTACATGAAAAGTGTCTCTACAGTGCAAGTTATTTTATGCGGGACTCTGCACCTTCTTCATGGCCTTGTTGTTGAGGCTGAATGCCTTTTCGAGTCAAACTGTACCAACAGAAAAGCAAGATGTTTACACCGACATAGACAACATATCTTGTACAAATTACTCTGCCTCTGTGTGAAACAGCAATTCGTCCACTCTTTGATATACAGTACTTATAAATTAGTTAGAATTTTTTGTGCAAACAGTTTCAGATGTGAAAAGGAAACATTGGAGCACCCCTAACCTCAAAATACTTTGAGGGATGTTTGCTTTTCATTAGGGCTACAACAGTGTTAGATGCTATTTAGTTTCAATGTTACAAATTAATGTAGTTTCAATGATACAAATTAAATGTGGTTCAACCGTAATAGCTCACATCCTGAACTCTGCTGATTTCACTGAAGTTTCTCACAACATCTACAGAAAAAAATTGGCTAGAAATAACTGGCTATGATCTCTGCTATGTAACAAGTGAATTGTGGGTAGAAATGCGCAGCTGGACTTCCTCAGCTGGCGAAAAAGTTGTTAATCAAGACCATTAAATAGTGTTGTCAATAAGTGTTGGTTTGTCAAGGATAGGTGTTGATTGGAGAGTTTACAGTTTATATGGCTTCAAGAAGGGTGTTGATGACAAGTTGAGGTGACAAAACACGGTTTAAAAGGGATTGTTTGTGTACTCTGAGGGAAATTAATAGTTTTACCTTTAGATTAAAAATTACTTTGTATACTTACTACATAGATAAATGGATATACATTTAAAGCAGGGTCTTTTTTTAAAAAAAAGACACTATGTGCTCAGTTATTTCCAGGTCTGAAACAAAAAATAAAGAAATACAGCAACATGCTGATATTTTTCTGAATGAAATTGAATACAAATTATTCCACAAATTTTTGTTTTTGCTTTTTTCTCCCTATGTTCAATTCCCTTTCTCATGCAGTTCTAAGTGTTTGTTTCCTCTCAGCTGATTCTTTCTCTGTGAACATCATTTCTACTGACTGACAAGTTTCTACTTTTTCTCTAATATCTCAAAGAAGTTAGTTATCCAGTGAACATGTAAATGAGAATAGCAGAATGTTTTAATTCACTGCTTTATTGGAGAACTCATTAATTAAACTATAGAGCCTTGGGTTTGTGTTCACTGTAGTTTTTGTTTATTATTTGGAGCCAAAGTGGGAACAATAAAACACCGTTACTATGATCACTGTGTAATCTGTGTGTATGTAATATGCTGCTGGAAGCAGAATTACCTCATAACAACTCTGTAATGCAGTTTAGAGAAAATTGGTTTGGCAAACCTTATCAGAATTTAGGCAGACACACAGAGCAGTTGTGTTTCTGGCTCTCTTCATGTCTCCCACATTCAGTGTCCCCCTTCCGTAGAGCCAGCTCCATCATTGGCCTTTTAATGAGGTGATATCCAGACACGCGGGAGCAGATGTTGCAAAGAAAACGCACTGTGACGTGATTGTGATCGATGCACACTTCCCACAATATCCACCGCATAATTTGGCGGATGGCATCAGGATAACAACCTGCATTATGTGGAGACAGCTGTCGCCATGGCGCCCAAGCACCCATCACATAGGCTCCTGCCTTATTTCAGGCAGAGGCGGGGACGCCAATTAGAGTGATTTACAGTTTGCTTGTGTCGTCACCGCCTAGAAATCTGTGTCTCAGTCCAGCTGGAGATAATGTGACCTGGGGTGTAGTGATGAGGAGGAGCTGGAGACGTTTTATTCTGCTCCAGGTGGAAGTTTTAGGCTGTTAATTCTAAGTTATAGTTACGTTTTTGCATTTATCTCAAGTCAGTGCTTTCTCAGATGATGGGTTTTTTTTTGTTTTGTTTTTTTTCCAGCAGAGCACTGCTAAATTACATTTTACCTTTATGTTAATGTTTTACTTTACAAGCACCCATGGATACTTAATTTTTTAGATATGTCTCTCAAGTTTATGTTTTTGTTATTTTAGTCCTTTCAAGTCTTTTGCTAACTTTGCAACCCCATTTCAAAGCTCTCCAAAATAAAAACGGCTGCATAAAAATAAGGATAGCGCACACATGAATGATGTAAATGAGGAGTAACTGCAGGTTTTTGCTGTAATGAATCTGATGTGCAGCATTTGATGAAATGCTGAGGCAGATGGAATCTGAGAGATGGAAATAGAGGAGAAGGAATTGCGATTGGCTGTCACTAGAAATCTGTGAAAGCTTTGAAATGCATAACAATCATGGGATACAGTTTGGGTGAATTTGCGCTTTGCACATTAGCTGTGGGTCACAGAGGAGGTGGCTGCCACTGTGAGAAGCAAGTTTAGTCAAAATACACATGAATATGTAACACGAGTGCACAGAATTTGGTCTTGCATCCCACACAGCATATAAAATCAGACTTTTCTTTCTTGAATATTAAAAGATATGATCACACATACAATAATCCTAGTTGTAAATCCTCTTCAGAATTTCCTAATACAAGTCTGTTAAGCCTCCAGCTGATGATGAATTGTATATGTTTGTCACTCCTTTTATCTTTCCATTGGCTCAGCTCCATCATATCTTTAAAACCAGATCATCAGTGTTAGCATGGCACTTCTGTCTACTTGAGGCTTTTAGTATTTCCTAAAGCAAAATGAGAGGGTATTCCTGCCTTCAGGCTCCCCCTCTGTAATTGTTAGGCAGGTTTTCCTATTTTCCAAAAGCTTGACTTTGCTTACTTATTTCCCTAATTCACTTGCTTTGGGTGACTTTGTAGATTAGTAAATTATGCTGCAGTCGGCCAATTCTGGGTCAATTCTGATGATCAACTTTGATTATTATTATGTATATTTATGTTTTTAATCCAAAAGGATGACACGTGCAGAGCAGTCTTTTTAGAGCTGTGTGTATAGCGCGTTTGCACAGTGTTTTCCCTATTTAATGGGTAGAAAAAACAAGAAAACCAAACGTATGATACAACGCAGATGACCGACACATTTATTAAAGATTATGTCCGATTCATTTTGGCGAAAGTGGACAAACAACGACATCCACACCACTAGGTGGCGGAAGCATAGAAAGCGGAGGTGGGTCTGGTAGAATACGTAAAGAAGAAGTCTACGTCGCTCCCTCATGACGCAATTTATCCGCGACTTTCAACCTGAGGCTGTTTAATTTACAGGTTGGCGGCTGTTTGAGAGCTAAGTCAGTGAAGTTTCGTTTAAAATGCTTAAAAAGAAATCAAGCAGCTCCGAAAAGAAAAGGAAACACTCGCTTTCTCAAGATCGACAGGAGGGAAGGAAACGGAGGAGTTCGGAGTTGCACTTGGAGGTGATAAATACAAGCTGGATCGTTATTTTCTTTCTCAGTTTCTTTCTGACATTCCCTAAATGTATTAACCGCCTTCACCACCTTCTTCTTTCTCTATTGTCAGACGTCTCCGTCTTTGTACCATCGCAATTTTCTTGCTCTTTTACCCCAATAATGGAGCACAAAGCATCCCTGACATCACCCAAATCCTGGCTGTTCTCAGTTGTGGCATCAGGATTCATTATGTCTTGAGCTACCTGCAATTCTTCTTTCTTTTGAGCTCATCTTAAACGGATCTGTGCAACATCTTTACCTTTTTTTTTTTTTTAATTATCAGTCTTCATTTTATCTCCTTCTCAAAGGGCCCCAAGGATGAGCTCGCCGACCCAGAGCTGGACAGGATTGGCAGTGACATCGAGGAAGGGGGGCTGGACCTCAGTCAAGCCTTCAAGCCCATCACCGCTTACATCAGTGACAAGAGGGAGGCCCTGGAGCAGTGCTTCCGTGTGTTAGGAGAGAAGAAGCTGCAGAAGATGCTGCCGGACGAGCTCAAGGTGATTTGGAGCACGTGGGCTCGGTGTTTGTTACGTCCGCATCGTTTCACAAATGACTGAGACACAAACGTTTTTTCCACTGATGTAACTTTAATTGGGTTGCAAATGTAAATGTCAAATGGGTCTGTGTCGTTCACAGGACTGTAGTTTAGAGGAAATCAAAAGTCTTTGTTGGGAGCAGCTGGAACCGATCTGCGAGAAACACCTCGTGCAGATTTTAGCAGGTGAAATGTTCAAACTAGTTTTCCAGCTTTCCAAAGCAGCTTTTTTGGAGTGTGTGGGCTAAAATAACAATATTAAAAAAAAGATTTTTCTTAACTTTTTTTCAAGGAGAAGATTTGTCACCTAGAAGTGGCAGCGAACACCCTGAAGGGGCCTTGGAAAGCCAGTGAGTTTCCAATTGAGTAAATCATTCAAGGCAAAACTTCATAATAAGGTCTTTGTTTGTCATGTATTTACTTTTACTTTTTTAATTTAGGCAAGACAATAATGTCGACTCAACATCTTGCCTGAAAGAAACGGCAAAAACAGAAGAGAATAAGCAAGGTGATTACTCCCAAAGGACACCCAGTGGTCTTTTTAAAAGTTATATTTATTCATTTAAAAAACCTTTTAACCTTTAACATTTGGTGTAACGTTCTTTACAGAAGGAGGGGGATCTGGGGAGGAGAGCGACGTCCTGAGCATCAACGCAGACACTTACGATAGTGACATAGAGGGACCCAAAGAGGAGCAGACGGCCAAAGCTGCAGCCGTGGCTGTCAAAGCAGGCGATGCTGCAGGGGAAAGCTCGCAAACGGCTGTAGCTCCTGAACCAGCGAACTCTGAGCCAAAAAAAGACATTCAGAGTGACATAGACAAAAGCGTCAGTGAGATTTTAGCGGTCTCTTCGGCCTCAAGCAAAGAGGAATCTAAAGAATTGAGTGTGCCGCCGCCGCCGTCTGCAGACGTCAGTCTGCCGGTGGAAGAGGCGCCAGCTCCGAGCGGAGACCCTGCGGTCAGCCAGCCCTCCGTCCAGCAGCTGGCCCTGCTGGAGCTGGAGATGAGGGCCAGGGCCATAAAGGCTCTGATGAAAGCTAGCCATGGGAAAAAGCCTAACGCAGCCAAGAACGATTAGTTTGTTTTTATAAATGTTTAACTCAGTTTTACAGTTTTCAATAACTTGAGTTTGAACTTTGGTTGAATGATACAAATGAGCTTTAAAAACATTTGCATCTCTGAACATCTTAATTGTTCCACGAGTTTTGTTCAAACCTCATTGTGTTTTTGCTCCATATTGGAATGATTTTCCTGTCAGTTTGATGCTTTAAAAAAAAAAAAAAGCTGAAATTTTCTGTATGAATTCTTTGGGGACGGATAAACTGAAATGCGTTTTCCTCCTTGGTCACTAGATGGCAGTGACGCTCTGCCTCAGAACCCTCACCTTGCTCTGTTTGATCATTGCAGGGCTGCAAGTTTCGATCTACCGTCTCACATTATACACAGAATTCTTTCAGGCACCATGAAAGTCAATATTTTTAATAATGTTACTTTGTAATGCAGCTCTACTTGAATTTGTGTTGGAGTGGATCAGAAAGATATTATTTTGTACGACCAAATCTTGCAATAAAGAACAGGTGGAAAAAAATGTACTCAGCCATTCAGAGACGGTCAGCATGCATAGAAATACCATATGCTTCTATCGTGTTTACTTCTGATAAATGTTAGCTCGGCTTGAGTACATCTAAGCAAAAGACTACTTCTTCCTGTGGTATTAACTGTGCAAATGACTCAGAGACTTTGGTGTAATCTGTCCTCATGCAGGTTTGTTTCAGGATAAACTGCAAATGTCGTCTGTGTGTGTGTATGATTGAGAAGAAAGTTTGTGTGTAGTTAGATGCATTTGCAGAGCAAAACATCTCTCTACCCCAAAGCAGACAATGAAATGTGAGATAAGAAGCCATTTTCCTCCTGGGTATTTGCATTTAAAAGGTTTATTTCATGGTAGAGGTGAAGGTGGGAGGGTTAAATGTGTCATTCTCTTTGCATTTATGTGTGCAGGTTTCATTGCTCCCCTGGCTGAGGGGAAAAATGTTTACTCCAGAAAGAGATCTAGGCTTTTGCTGCCTGTGATTGGTTAGTATTTATCGTGTCATTTTACTGCTGTTAGAATGCCAATTATGAGGGGTTTTCCTCTTAAATGCAGCAATGAATTGATTTTAAAGCAGACCACAAGTGCGAAAACGGGTTGATGGAGGCAAGGTGATACTTTGTGAATTCAAATGACGGTTAAAATCCATGTTCAAATATGAGGCCAGACGCTACTGTGAATAGTGTTAATATGAAAGTTGAAAAGAGGTCAGTCCTAAAGCTGGTGCTGCCACCCTTCATCTGCCTAATTGGCACACCGTTCATTCTGTTGGGGGGAAGTTACTACCAAGCTCCTGTTCTGTGGAGGCTGTTAGATTCCAAAGTAAAAACGGATTAACTTTGTATAGTCTTGAATGTCTTAATGTAGGATCTCCTGAGTCAGGCATGAGGAACTGTGTCCCAGACCTTTCTCAAAAACCAAATGCAAAAACTAGTCAGTGGGACCGGTCTTAACTGCACAACTTGACAACTGTCAAACAATATAAAGCTGTAGTGTGGAAGAGGGGAGTTCATGATGCGCTCCTATCATAACACCTCATTTGAAGAATAAATGCACCCTCTGTTAGTGTTAAAATGTTAAGATCCTTTCCATTATTTAAGTTAGAATATTATTCTTTCTTATGAATAGTACTTGTGGTAACACTAGTGGAGGGCAAATTAATGGAGAAACCCATTAACCCTTGACCCCTTGATTGAGGGCCCTTTAGCCGAAATCAACAGCCTCATGTAATCAATGTCATGTAACTCTTAAACTCGCCTGGCATCAAAACACCTAATGTATGTCTCTCTCTGTCGTACTGTAAATGCAGTAATATATATTATTTGTGTTGTATTATTCAGTGCACAGCCACTTTCATCCATGATTTTCTGCAGGGTTTTTACAAAGAACTCAAATATCACCTAGAAGTGCAGGTATCGGACTGTGCTTTAGACGTAGGAACATGTTAAACACTCTGTACTCTGGCATGTTTATGTCAGATTAAGGCTACACAGCTACTGCACCACTGACAATATGGCCTCTGAATGGTGACGGATGATCGTTCGTCTCAGCTCCATTTTAAGTGGATTAGCTTCAAACATCTTAAAATGCATGAGCGAGTTGCTGCTTTGTCTTGTGATGGGTTCACTGTTTACTGTTCCATTAACAAAATATTCAGTGTTTGCTGTCTTTCTTAATTTGGGATATTTCACTTTGGCATGCATGTCTATTTTGTCTTTATTGGTTGGTTGAATTTAAATGTAGCATTAGTAAGGTTGGCATCTTTTAGACAACATCAAACCTGTCAGTCTAATGTAAGAGTAGATGTTACCGTGGTGCAAAAGAAAGATACTGTGAGGGAGAAAAAAGGACAGAAAAATGTTGATGCGACTTCAGGAACACATCCTGTTTGCATACATAAAGTCATTCTTATCAGATTTCCTTCCACACAGTCTCTGTTCTTTTCTGCAAGTAGAAATTAAATTGAACCAACAGCACATGCTGACAGGCAATAAATAACTTAGCACCTCTGTATGACTAAATTAATTGATTTCCTCGAGCAGTGACTCATTGGACACATTTCATTTTCTTCAAATTATAGACAAAACAGTTTTTTCTCACCAAAGTACAGGATACTTTTCCCATCACTTGTGTTTCTTTCTTGAATGTTTAATTCAGTGATGACTTTCATTCTTATCTTTTATTATTTCTGTTGTTAGGGTGATTTAAAATATGCTAACTAGCATACAACATTTTAAAAAATGTGTTTATTTCTCACCTGGTGTAGTTATTCGGGAATAGATGGAAATTATAGCATAAATGATGGCTCCCAGTCTGTATATTGGAATAATGCATCCATCTGTTCCCATTTGGGTTTTCAGTATTTGAATGGTGACGAAGTCATTTGGTCACAGGTTTGCTGCACATCTGTTCACCATTCCCTTCATTTGTTGACAGAAATGTTTGGTATACTTCTAAAAGGGGAGTACGTTTGGCAGAACCTCTTTATGTAAAATTGGTTAGTGTAAGTTTGAACCTACTTGACAAAGAATACCTTTCTTTTTTAAAGTCATAGTCCAAACTCCCTAAAAGAGATTTGAATATTTAAAATTCCACTCCAGTAAAACATCTGCATTTGGAGCAAATTCGTCCTCTTCTCTGACTTGTCAGTTATATGACTTTCAGACTCCATGCATTCTCCCTCCGTACGGGTTTCCCCCCCCTTCAACTTCAGGTTCTGCATTCAAATGGTGCATTAATGCCATCAAATTCTGCCAAGTAGACCAGGCAGCCAATAAAGCAAAATGCTTTTGAAGGATATCAAGAGACATCAGGCAGAACGGATGACTTCGCTCAATGAAATCATCATAATCAAATGAAAAGAAAACTGCCACTCTATCAACTCTGTACTTTCCATGGGACTTTTGTTTCCACAGAAATAATTGCAGTCAATGGCCTTAAATTAAGGTATTTTGCAATGAAATAACTTAAGTGGACTCTGTGACTTACCTTTTTACAGTTAGTAAACATGAAATATTTCCATTGAATCAGATGATTGTAGCATCTACATTTGAATGTTTTACACCAACATATTTACACATAGGAATAAAATAACTTTTCAATTAGATGTGATCTCTTGTGCCAGCTCAGTTTTAGATCTGTTTTCTTCTTATGTCTATGCATCTACTCTGTTTTAAAATGGTCAAACAATTTGGTAAAAATTAAAAATGTGATTGCAGGACTCTACAAAAACTTATGTTTGGTAAGTTTGGATTATTTTATTTTTAGATATTACAAGATATTTTAAATACTTGATCTTAGTTGTATCTTTTGAGGACAAGCCATTGTTCACTGATTTTAACTTGTGACATTGCATAGGTCTCAAGAGAACACAGGGTTGAGGAAAAACTGACGTGTTTTTAAACAGTAATTCTTTCTTAAAAAAATCTTTCTCTTGAAAAATCTTCAAACGGTTAAATAACGTGACTGCCTGTGGTGCCATGAACATTGATAGGCCAGCATGATATCCCCAAGACAGGGGATGGATAACAACACACAACCCTGCTAACTCAAACTTTCTATAATCCAAGGTGAAAACTGCACACTTCGGACTGTTTTTGGAAGGCAAAGGGCTGTCAAATGCTGCTGGGGTGCCATTTTTTATTTTCATTTCTTTATTTGGATGATTTATATCCCACAGAAGAACAAAGTGACTGAGCCAAGAAAAGTACTTTCGTCAATGCTGTGATAAAACTGTCAAATTTCTTCCCAGCACTAGCTGGCAAGCTATTGTATTACATAAGTAATTGTCAAAGGGAATCTCAAGAGAGGAGTATATTGCTTCTGAGTTCATGTCTGTACATCAGGACTTCCATCTCGTCCCTTAGCTTGGTGTAATGTTCTGACATATGTTTTTACAACAAGGTATTCTCTGTATTTGGAAAATCCATGACTTAGATTCTTAAAAAAGGGAATCGCATACTTCTTCTACAGTCTTGTGTTTGGTGACGATGGACTCACTTGGGCTTTTTATTTAATAAATGTCACGTGGCAAAGATGATTAATAGAGGCAGACAACAAATAACTTCCAATATTTCATTAAAACTTTATATTCCTTTAGGTTGTGAAGTTTTCTAAGGTACTACATAAAACGTGTGATGCTGCTGTTCAAGTCACTCAAGCCATTGAAAAATAAATGAGAGTCATACAACAGACAAACTGAGTCACAAAGAAGTAGAGCCCTATAAAACATGTTCAGGTTCGAACAGCCATACGCTTCCCCTTGCTCTTCTGATCCCATGCATGAGTGATATCAGTTCCATTTTTAAACAGGAAGTATCCATTAAAAGTCAATAGTTCATTCTTTGCTTGTGGAGCAGTTATTTAATCAGTGTCATCTTAAATTTCTGTTTCCAGTTTTTTTACTACCCTCTATCAGGAGGTTGTATTAACATGTAGATACAAAGATAGGACCATAATAGCTCATTGAATTCAGCATGCCCCTCATTATTATGGTGATTGTACATCTCAAGTTGTGTCATTGAAATTGAGGTCATCATATCTGTACAGATTCAATCACGGATTTTGGAACGGATGTTAAAATGTCTTTCCTGTTATTTTTTTTCTGTGGTCGACAGTGGCAGGTGTAACTGGGGCAGTTTGATGTGAGACATAGCTGTTTGTCTTTGAGGATGAGCACCGAAGCCCCTGGATGAGTTCCAGCTCCCCGGGATAGACACAGCTGCCCAGAAGTGGTAAGACTGGCTTCATTTATTGTTAGCGTTCGGAACATCTATAATGATGTTGGCATCTATATTTATTGCAAAAAATACAAAACCCATCTGGTGCAATGATAAAAAAAAGTTGTCGATGTGATATGTATGAGAATAACTTCATGCAATAGACTGTTTGTTTTTAGGCAAAAAACTTCAAAATGCTTGATGATTTCTGTTAAATTAATCAAGGTGAGTTTGAAGTGATTCCAACACTAATCAACCTTTTCCAATTACTCCAATCAGGTTCAATCCAAACTAATCAAGGGGGGGGGGGGGCAATGCAGCTTTTATGCAATGTTTCCTCCAAAGATGAATTGACTAACACTTTGTGCAATTAAAGGTCATATGGAAGTGAAAAGTCACTTCAGAATTCAACAGCTTAAAACTAAAAGATCCATCACAAAGTCATCCTGTATTCACAGCAAAGGACCACCAATTATTGGGCGCCGCAGTATTGATAGCCTCACCTCAACCTATTCCTAGGTGAGTCATTAGTCACAGAAGTAATGATACGTCATAAAAGAGCAATCAGGACTCTGGATATGAATGATGACTGTGCCTTAAGATGTTCCAGTTGTGTTTCAGTACACGCCTGAGGAGAGCAGGTTTGATATTTTTGCAGCTCCGACCTAAAGATGCCCACACTTTCTTTTCTCAGTTCCCTGGAGGTAAGCAAAGAGCATCCTGCCACTATGAGTTAGACTCAGCATTCACTAAAGGTTTCTTTATTTATTTTAGCTATCTGCGAAGTCATAACTGCTATGTTGAATGTTTCATCAAGGCTTTATCACCCTTACACCAGACTCATTACACGGGTGTAGTGACAGTGTAATAAAATGTGACTTAATCAAAACCAGGCAGGCCACCAGAAAATTGGCTCCCCCTCAGCTGAATGTGTGCAACAGTCAGGTAGCGGCTACTGTTGTACTTAACCTCATCAAGGTCTCCATTTAGGTGATGGAGAACTCAGACACTAAGGCGAGGAGCTGCTAGGGGGCTGTTTGTTATTTTCAATTTATGCT